ACTAAGATTACAGATGCCAGTTCCAACAGTAAAACAGGTTTGTTTTGTCTTCAAGGAGGTGCTGAAAATACTTGATCTAAATCTTCTCAGGTGTTTATCCTGTTCTTAACATTTTAAATAGCTAGCCATAGAATAAGGGTTCAACGTTTTCCAAAGTCTCTTACCTTTCTCATATTGAAAATATTATGTAGTACTCTTTCAAGTTCTGGCTCAGCTTTTCAGCCTGTCCTCCAAAGGCAGAGAACTTCTACATAACTGGCAACAGGAGTGCTGCATTGGTAGTGAATTACAGCTAACTCCAAGAAAGAAGGCAAATGACTTAATAAACAGCTCTTTTCTAAAAGCAACTGTCTGTCCCTAATGAAGAGTTCTTCCATTATAAGGTACAGAATGTGCATTTCAACCAAAGGAACCTTGCTGGGAGGTGCCAGTGCAAGCAAAGAAAGGGGACGCGACGCTGGCAGCCAAAGACAAGCAGATTTTCCTCTTCAGAAAATAAGCCAGTGACTGGCCAAACGAAGGAAGGGAAGTAATACCCAGAAGGTCTAAGAGTAACTTAAGAATTTCTGGCTGAATTCAATTAGAAGAAAGAGACTCACCATTTGTTATAACTATACACCAAAGAACAATAAAACAGCTAGAATACACAGCCTCTCACATTCCTGGTTCATGCAGGGAGAAGGCATGTCGAAGTAAAGCAAGTCAGCTCTAAAATATGAGTACACCAGGGCAAACTGGATTGATCAATGTTGGACTCGCAAGATGGTATTCAAAGGTGCAACTGAAGTTGTCATCTTTATTCCCAATCTACCAACAAAGCTGTACAGCTCCAAGAAAGATGACAGCCGGCTATGCAGGACAACCAACTGTTTGCTTCAACCGGGGAATCATTTTTAGCTTTTCCAAGTAAAAGTAGTAAGCTGCCAAATATCACCTATTGTATGAACTCAATCAAAAAAACCCCAGGCATGACCAAACACAGGAAGCAGGTAACAAGCTTTGCACTGGCAGCCAGTATGTTCTTTCCTGTTAGAAGATGGAACAGCCCAAATAGTGTTTGTGGAGCCAGCTGCCCTCTCCACAAACAAAAAATACAATGGTGCTGTCGGATGGAAGAAAAAAAAAAAAAAAAAAAAAAAAAAAGCTGTTCAGTGACAGGGGAAGGTGAGATAAAATAAATAAATAAAAGCAGAAATTTTAAGTGTGTTTGTGCAACAGACTAACTGCTTCATATGCATAAAACTTAACAGTAAGGGTTGTGACGATCTGCATAAGGAGGTAAAACAGAAGTCAACTGTGAAACTCTGACCAGAATCTTTGAAAAAGGAAGCAATTTTTACATGATCAGCAACCACCTGAAGAGCATTTGCAGAACTTCTAAGCTAGCTGTTGCTGTATTATTTAAATCACTTGAATAAAAAAGAGCTTAAAACCCCTGAGTTTCTTAACCCCAACAATGGGGGCAATCAAGCTGATACTTCAATAAAGGAAGGACATTTTATCATTTTGTTCCATATCATCCCTTGGTAAGATTTCTTTCACCTCCCAGCCACCAAGAAAAACAGTATGCAAGGTGATGTGCAAAGATACAAGTAAAATAAATACTAATAATAGTGTAACTTTTATTCTCATGATTTAGAAACTGGAAATAGCTCCCCCCCTCCTTTCCAACCCAAAGCCTCTTGACTGAAATGAATAGGAGAAAGCTACTCCATTCCTTCCCAAAATAGCAACAAGGAAAGATTAAATTTAACTGCTGCTTTACTACACAAAAGGCTCTACAACACAGTAATATTACTACCATGTTTCTTTAAAAAAATCAGTATTGTAATTTTCATTCTACAACTACATAGTGGGCAATAAGGAAATTACAGCAAACTGTATCCTGTATCACATGTAGAATATGTGAGCAGATCAAAGTGGCTCATTTTCATCAGATTAGTTTTTGGATCGGCTTAATTCTCATCTCCTTTCTTCATTCATCCACTGACCACAATGCCCTAAGTCTTCTTAAAGATTCAACTGAGAACAAAATTCTTTTCAACGACCCAGAGAAATTGCACCATGAAATTTTTACATTTATGTATTATAGGAGGGTTTTCAAATACAGATCATTACAGTTACTAGCTCTTTTTTTCCCCTATTCACTAGAAAACTATGGGTGCATTATGAGTGTTTTAATTTGGACCACAAGTGCACTTTTGAAGCAACTCTCCAATTATTGCCCCTTACTGCTTTTTGGTTCATATTGTTTAGCATGGGACCTAAAGGGAGTGTCCCTTTTAAAACAGGCTAAATTGGAAGATGAACTTCAAGAGCATACCTACTGCACTCCTGTACTGCAATCCAAGTACACATAAGCATTCAGTCCATGGGACCTCATTAGAGGTAATCCAAAGAAAATACCCCTTAAGTATGTATAGTGTGCGTGTCAGGTCCACAGTGTCAATTGTTCCACTCTACAGCCATCCTTCCAGAGATCAATGCTATTTGCTATTACATTAGTTGATCAAGCTTAAAGTTGGTTTCATAAAATCAGGCAATTAAATTAATATCAGCAATGAAAAGGAATCTTTAAATGAGTCATGTGTCAAGTATTAAATTTCAGCTGCACTTTCACCTTATTGTTCTAAAAGGGATATAAGTAGTGGCAATCAGAAGACCATTGATGAGATGTCTCAGAAAAAATGCCTTCAGATAGAACATGAGTTAAGCTTTTAAGTGCAAGTACTTGGGAATCCTGAGATCTAATAAAAAAGCACAGCTCTAGGCTTCCAAAGTCATTAATTTGGTTAAGTTCCATTAACACTAGCACAAGAAGTAGAACCCCTAATAACTTTGGAAATCACAAATGTATTTTTTCATTAGATTGACTAAGGACTTCGTATCATCCTTAAGTCTTCCTTTTTTCTCCTCCGTGTCCGACACATCCTACACTACAGAGGAAGACCTGATCTGTCCATTTCTGAGTATTACAATTCCATGTAAAATTACACAGCATGTGTATATACTTAAATGTATACACACACAAATAAATATATACTCACTTTTGGTCAAGAACAACGCCAAAGTACAACTACGTGAAGTGTATATAAAATCATAAAAATTTAGGCCTGGGTTTCACATGTGTAGTAAGGTTCAGGCATCCGTCATCCTTCCTTTATCTGGTCACCCATTGCTGCTGCAGTGCTAACACTTGCTGTGTCCAGCAACATACACTGGACAGGCCCACAGTGAATCACTCAGTTTTCCTGATCCCATTCACCAAATGGGTATAAACCTCTGTGATGACAAAGGCCAGAAGCAGTAAAGTAGGCACAGGGGATAGCAGGCACATCTCTTGGGGGACAGGCTGGATTGGAGAATTTCATTGCTGCCAAAACAGTGTATTTTCCAAGTCTTTGTTAGAAAAAAAAACAGTGAGTCAGGACGGACAGCGGACTGCGTATTGGCTTTTAGTTTTGTGTGGATTAATTAATTGTAGACAAGAATTGAAAATTCCATTATGAGTCACTGGAAGGTACTTTATATGATGAAACACTGGCACAGGTTGCCCAAAGAGGTGGCAGATGCCCCATCCCTGGAAATGTTCAAGATCAAGTTCAACGGGGCTCTGAGCAACTCGATCTAGTTGAAGGTGTCCCTGCTCATCACAGAGGGGTTCGCCTAGATGACCTTTAAAGTTCCCTTCCATCCCAGACTATTCTATGATTCTATATGGGATACCATAGCCTACAAGAGAAATAGATTCCTGGTGATTTTATTACCCCTTAGCACATGCAGATTCAAAATTAAGTATTTTCTGTCCTTGTCTTGTTTTGTTTCATTCGGAAGTGTTTTACCAAGCTTTTCACAATATATTTGACAACAACTTTGTATTTCCATATTCCAGCTAAAAAGAGTCAAAGAATTAAAGTTTATTTACTTTCAATACATTTTGAAATAAACATCTGCATAATTACATTTCAAATAACAAGTTACAGCCTACATTTCCATAAACTATTTTGGAAGCTTACATTAAATATAAATATTTCTCAAGCTGGAAAGAAAGTCAAGTAAGTGCTTTTGCGGAACCACCTGCCACCTGAAACAAGAGTTTGCTGATTTGCTAAGCCAGTTTCTCATCATAGTAATCCTCTGTGGGAACGGAGTGAATACTTCCTTCATTTTGATGTATTTAAAATTCTCTGTCCATTGTCTAACTACTTAAATTTTAGAAGCCAACTGGGAATCTAAAAGGGAGGAAAGCTATTTCTTTTCCTCCAATTTAAATAACCAAAAAAGAAGATTAAATTTTCCAAGTCTAAAGTATACAGTAATGAGAATACCCAATTAATTCACTAGCTACAAGGGAAAAAAAACCCTAGACTTTTGTTTAATGATTAGCTTTAAGCATACAGCATGTTTTGACCAGCTTTTAATTTAAGAAGCTTATATATTTTAATTGGATTTAAACTTCCACCCATATACAAAAGCAATGAATTTCAAAATATTAAAAGTTATTGGAATTAACACAATATTGGTAAGACATCGATTTAAGTTATTAAAAAGGAGCTACAAAGCTAAACTCTGCCACAGCTGAGCTGCAACACATCCATTTACAGATATGCATTGCACCAATTATTAGCTCAACAGAATGTAGCTCAGCACAACTCTGTTCTGCATACCACTCCAGCTTTCTAAATACTGCAGCATAAAGGAACAGAGAAGACAACTGTGTACTAATAAGCCTAATTTATAATCAGTCTTTGCAAACTACATTAACAAGATGCATCTGTGCTCGTTTTAATAAATCTGATAATATATTATCATTGTAGGTTATTTCATTAACTACTTTTCTATTTAATGTTAAATTATGCATGATGAGTTGTTCTGTCCTCCTTTATTGAGTGAAGTACTACAAAAAACTAAGCATTTTTCCTGTTCTGTTCCTCCAAATGAAATACATCCCTAAAAGGTGAAAGTGAATAATACAGCAAAATACCATACAGTCAACTTACCACTGCCACGGCATCACTAGAAAGAACAGCTTTGACATCCAGCACTGTATAGTAAGCTATATTGGTCATAATATAGATAACAGTCACAATTGGCATAGACACTGCAATAGCCAGTGGCAAATTCCTGTAAGACAAAAAACACCCCAAACCCACAACCCGGGAAAAAAAGAGTACATTAATAACAAAATAAATTTATTTATTTGCATCGTTTACCTTGAAAATAAAAGATATGAAGACAGAATAAAGATTTCATAATAGGTATCTCTGGAACAGTTTAGTTTCTTTTAAAATTAGAAATTCCAATGTAGAATACAGAATTTTTTTTTTTTTTTTGCAGTAACATAAAACCTAAATTATGTGTAAAAAGGGATTCTACTCAACCCTAAGTTCAGGATTTCCAGACCAGTAATAAGAGCCTTCAAATCTATATGCTTTAAATTATTTCCTACTGACTATGTTAATTACCACAACTAGAACCCAAAGGGGCAGAACTCTGAGTCACTGCACTCATTCTCCCTGAAGAATGCTGCTGTTCTTCTAGCACCTACTTCTAGAACTGATGCAGGGAGACCCACTAAACCAAACCAAACCCCTGATCTCATCTGCACTCACCACTGCAGAGAGCAAACTAATTGGGCTGCGTAACTACAGAAAGTAGAGATGCAGAGGGCAGATCCAAATTGCTACACAGCTGTGAATCTCAGGATGTGGTGTATCTTACTAGCAAACACATGTCTAGAAAGTAATAAAAAAAAAAGTCAAGAGTAACAAGAAAACACTTAAAACCTCTAGATGTAAACAGATAAGACAATTTAAAGCTGAGATAAACTCAGCCGTAATTCTGCAGCTCCACGGAGAGAGACTCTGCAGAGCACAAGCAAAAGCAAACTTTCAATTTTAGGCTCTGGCTTTTCTCAGCCTTTTTCTTTCTTCAAAGCTTGCAGGGATATTCAAATGTCTCAAGAGGGAAAGCAGAAGTGAGAGTGTTACGCTTGCATTTGCGCAGGTTGAAATCAAACATGACATGCTGACATTTGCCATGTTTTCCAATAACAAAAATCAAAACAAAACAAACCACCACCAAAGCAGAAAAATGAAATGCACTTTGGAAGTTTCCTCAAAAATTTCCTGAAACCCAGAACTCCAGCTGGGTCTCTCAGATGCTGTGGAAGTAGAAAAACAAACACACACCACAACCCCTCCATATAAATCAGTAAATTAGTAACTGGAAGTTCTGACTCTGCTTCCAGGTTGAACACTCACAGTAAAACATCTGTGAGCCTCAGTGCAGAGAAGAAACAGAATTAGAAACCACTTAAAAATTAATTCAGAAATGTTACATAATGTAACAAAAATCTGAAATGGCATCTTAAGGACTTTGCATCACCCAAGATTAAAGCCAAGGGACTATTTCAAATTTAACTTGTGGATTACAACTTTTGACTGGACAAGCATGAGGGCACTATCAATCAAGTGAATATGAAAAATATGTAATTCTTGGAGTAATTTTATAGAAGTCTGGAACATCTCATTATTCCTAATAACTGTCAATGTAGAAAACTGAAATTTGAAGTTCACTTTATCAACCACAATTGTTACCAAGAATGAAGCTGGTATTAGGCAGTGATGCCTATGAATAGCAAATGAATCTAAAGAAATTTTCATCAGCTAAATATCCTGCCAGAAAAATTATTTTTCAAAACAATACACCTAAAACAAGAGTTATCCAACTGATAACACAGAAGAATACATTAACTCTAAAAAGATAGAGCATTGCAACTACCCACAAAAGGGGAGCTCTTTCAGTGGAAAAAAACAATTTGAAGGTCCAAATGACTGATGCAAACACAAAATGTACATCTCTTCTGAATACTTATAACAAATCTTTGCAAGACAATTTAAGGAAATATTGTCAACCTGAAATTCAGTCTGACTAAAAATAGCTATTTTTAGAGTTAAAATATTTATCTGCTATTTTATCTTTTTAATAGATAACTTTCCTGGTTAAATAAATGCGCACATAGAACTCAGGGGTAACAGAACAAACTGCAAAAGTCAAAATCAGTTGGGAGAATTGAAAAAAATCTCTATTCCATTCTTTATCTTTCAGTTGTAGCAATCTGAGCTGTTGTTTATAATAGGAAGTAAAAATGATCAAATGGGATTCTATTTTTAACATAAAAGGCGTCTGCTTACAGACTCCTGACTGAACAGATTAGGCAGTCACACTTTTAAAGCATAAATTAATGGAAAGGAAAACATTCTTAAATATTAAATCAGAATTATTGCACAGATAAACACAGCAGAGACTACACTTAATGTAACTGTTTCACTCCTATATTAACACCTGTTGTACTTAGTACTAGCAACATCTTGAACTGAAAGCTTATCAAGCATTGAATACAGCATCCTGCAATCATCTGACTTATTTATTCTTTTTTCTTTGTTTTAATGTGGTTTAAAACTAGTAAATCTTTGCTGGTAGTTGTTCACAGCCTTACCATCTAAGTATAGAGCAGTTCTACTCAGTTCTATATAGACTCAGAACTCATTACTGAAAGACAGCCACAAAACAGCAACTTGGTAACTATCCAGGTTTAGAAAGCCCAAATCATTTACCTTTCTGGGTTTTTGATCTCTTCTGTTACAAAATTGAGTGTATCCCAACCAGAGTAAGAGAACAAGGCAGAATAGAGTGCGAGGGAAATGTCTCCAATATCAAAAGAGGATCCCTCAAAAGAGTTCTCAAAGTGCGACGAATGTCCTGTATATGGGAGAGACACAATGAAGTACAGGATAATAAAACACAGCAAGTAATTCTTTTCAATTTGGCACACTAATACAAAAAAACTCAGAAACTCTAATTCCTTTAAAGCTGCTTAGTAAGCCCTTTTTCCAATTCTACTCTGTGCTTCAGCCATTAGAATAAGCCTGGCATTTAAACTACTAAAAATTATGCTCTGTGGATGATACTGTTCTATAATTAAACACCTCTTTTGTCCACAATGGCACAAAAAATTCAGGAACATTGAGTTCAGACTAAGCTACAAACAACTGGCAATGGCAGCACTTGGGCTAAGAGTATCTTTTATAACACATCTATTTATAAAATAATCCACTCTATCCTTCTATATCCTTTTAAATTTTCAATCATTTAGCCTATGCAGAAAACAAAGATTATGGTTTATTTTAGATAACTATGACAAAAAAAAAAACCTCCCAAGTGAATGTTAAGTTTTAGCTATTAAAAATGGAACACTGAGTATACAATTAACAGAACATAAAATATTATTGTTATTTGAAATAAAATTTTCCTAAGGTAGTAGAAAAAGTGTATGTTCTTTTGCACCAGTGCATTCGTGAGCATTTGTGCCATCTTTCGACTTTAAGCAAGTCAAGACACGCTCACCAATGGCAGTTTTATATATTCAGACTATTTTACATACACACACACAAAACCACCAAATACAGAAAGCTGAGTAACTATGTAACTCCAAAACATGCCCTGTATATTTTGGAACATCTTGAAACATTTGGACTTCATCAAAACTGGCCATGGCAAATATCTGAGGCCTCTAAAATATCTTCTTTCTCTTTTTTATCCTAATCAGACATTGCCGTTCCCTTGGCACAGACACAGGCAGAGTAACTGCTGAGTTAGAAACAGAGAGGGGAGACAATGTCAAGGAAGTTAGCAGTGAACAAGCTCACTATCTACAAAACAAGGGATGGGCAGACGTGCTAAGGATTTAACATTCCAGCATGGTGCTCACATATGCATATTCTTGTTCCGTTCACAATAATTACGTTCACAATAATTACCTTGCTGGTGGACTTTCAACAATAACTGGTTAGAGCAAAGGACACAAATTGCCAGATTTCCAGGGAAAGGCCTTTATGGCAGGTTTAAAAGCAGGGTAATTTTTTTTAAGCTAACACACCAATAAATTCTCCCCAAAGGAAGGGCTATGAACAAAAATAACTTCAGAGTTCCTCTAACTTGAAGGCACAATGCCCAATACACACAGATTTAAAAAAAAAAAATTAAATCCAAAACCCCAGCAACTTTCTAATTCTCAATAGCTATAATAAAACTTAGGATTTGAGCAAAATTGGAACTGTTGTTTCACAAATTGACCTAGATGTTCTTACAAAACTATTTTTACTTCAATTTCAGTCACTTTCAGACTTGCACAAAATTCATTTTGTAAAAAAAAAAAAACAACCAAACATTCAGTTGATTTCGTTGTAAAGTAATATGTTCCTTACTGAAATTTACAGCTTTCTCTGCTCCTATTGTATTTTGCTAGCTTTGTATTTTGCCTTTTTCATTCCCTTTATTATTCCATACTGCAGGCTGTAAATTGCACAACATTGCTGAGCAATCAGTTACCTTCTTCTACCCAGTTCAAAGTTAACTGAGATAGGATAGCTTCTCATGATATAGTATCATGATAATGCCTAACATTGGTATTATTGGTGTTTTCAAAGTGGTTATATTATGCTTGTTACTGAGGCATTTGATAACACATACAAAGGAATTCTACAGTCTTTAGACCAGTTACTCGGTTTCACTGATAAATACAAACCTTTGCTTTCATTTAAAAGCTTACCCTGGCATATTTTAACAAGTCCAGTTATGATGATGACGATAAGTGCAGTGACTTTAGCATAAGTAAATACATCCTGCACCCGTGTTCCCCATTTAACATAGGCACAATTTATAAATGTTAGAAGACCTAGGGGGGGAAAAAAAAAAAAGAACAGACTATTTGAACAATATTCATTTTAATTCATTTTTCAAAGATTTTAAATTATAATCTAAATATGTACTTACCTTTTACACTACTTAAGTTAAACTAAGCAAAATACACTGGTACTGAAAACACACTGGTTTAAACAAAACAGTAGGAAACAGATGTTCTAAAGATTCATAACACACAGTTTCAAAAGATGGAAGGAAAGACCTTCCCATTCTCTGATTATATGCCCATTTTCCTAATGTTACCCTGATCAGCTGCCCTCTGCAACTATCCTGAAGCTAAAGAAACAATTACATGAAATTATTAATGTAAATTTATCAATATTGTTCTGATAAATGAAACATTATCTAGAAATTCCTTTAGGCAAACATTAAAATAGCATGTGAAAAGGTTTTTCCACTTCCTTGTTAGTCTGAGGTTGAGTTCAACATCCATGGAATATTTGCACTCTTGAATATGGTCACATATTCAATACTCTTTTCCAGTTGTATTAAACTGTATTACTAAGTGAGGTTAGAACAGATCTGACCAAATAACAAATGCTTTACAGCTAATGCAACATTAATCTGGATTTTTAAGAACTGGTAGTAAGTAAGTAGTATTCTGAATATATTCCCCCCACTATCCCAAAATAAATCAGTGTCAGACCTATTTCACAAGATTGTAACGGAACTTGAAGTGAGACTTTCAGATTTCACAAATGTTTTAGTAACAGCGACTGACTCAACTTACTCATATGATCAACTTCCCCAATAAACACTTCTCAACCTATTGTTGAAATAAACTGTTCTCATGGCTCTCAACATTCTGCTTTTGCATTTATTACTTTTTCCTCAAGTGGAGAGCCAGACAACTTCTGCCTGAACTCAAATGCTGAATATTGAACAGGATTCAGTATCTTCAGTATTCTTTACTGAACAAAATACTAATTCAATGCATTTTTTTCTTATCCAGATTATCATTACATTATTGATTCCAACCCAGAAGTTTAAATATTTTCCACAAATATCTTTTTTTTAATCTAGCTAGTAAAAAAGTGGTTATATTCTACTGTACTTTTTATCTCCAAACAATTTCTTGTACTATATATTTTAAATATGCATATAAATAAAAACTAAACTTGATTGTTTAAGGAGTAAGGTAGTAGCAAACCAAAATTAAATGAAAAGATGTGATAAATTAGTTCTTTTCCCATAATCCAAGAATAATGTGATACTATTAAGATAAAATGTACTTAGCACAGCTACCACATAGAAAAGTAATAATTGCAAAAAGATAACAAAAGAAAGGTAATGACCTCAAAACCATGGCACTAGCATACTAGACAGTCCGGCCAAGTGAAATAGCTGAACAAGATTCCAGAGCTTGGCAAGATGAGGGGAAAAAAACAGTTATATCAAATTTCAAAAGTCAGGACTGCTGCAGCTCCCAAAGAGCCCTCAGGAAAAAAACAACTCTGCTTGGTCTGGTCCCCACTCTTCAGTATTAATGGTTGGTACTATCCATAGAGCATTTGCTCACAGGATTTATTTTGGACATTATTTTATTAAGCAAATTCCATTGGGAGCAATTATTATTAACTCATTATTTTCGTGAGTTAGGGCTTGGTCTCTACTTCAGATGAGATGCTACTGTCTCTAATATCTTAAAAGGAAAAAAAAAAAAAAAAAAAAAAAAAAAGAGATCCCCTCTCTCTTTTCCTGAAATTATTCTCTCATGTTTTCTTCAACTTAATTACCATTTAGCTACTTAAATTTCCTGAGAACTGTCAAGTACCAGACACCACCCCCATTTCCAAAATGAGTAACAAAGTAATTCTGTATAACTCTAAGACTAATCTCTCACTAGATCCAGTATTGTTATGACTACAGTTTAAAAAAAAAAAAAAAAAAAAAAAAACACAAAAAAACCCCACACCATAATAAACCCACCCATTCTCACATACAATCTGTACCTAACCAATGTTCAGAATTCCACTCCCAGCAACTTCATTAGTAAAGTATTAATTGTAGCCACAGATAAGGATTTGACACACAACATCAGCCCTGCTAGGCCAGGGTGAAGCATAGGCTTTAACAGGGAGAGCTAAATGAAGTTGAAGAGCAGGGATGAGAATCTCAGCACTGACAGCTGGAACAGGGCAGAACAAGCATTTAAAGCATAAAATGGACCATGAAAGTAAGTTGTTCCACCTACAGGAGAGTGATCTTGCTGTCAAATGTCTCCACTAAAGGAAACAGTGCTAAATCCCCTCTCTTAGCAGCAAGCGTAGAGGACATCACGTTGTGTTTCTGCATCTACTATGTAACAATTTTAATTGAATCACTTTGTCTTGATTTCTTGCTTTTTGATAAACTACTTTTTATAAGGCCTAACTCCCCTCAGATGTGAGATACCTTAAATGGAAGAGCAGATTCCCCCGCACTTCTGAATCTGTGCCAGGATACCTTGGGACTGTATCTGTTTAAGGAATGTGAACATGACATTACAGGTCCTTCATTTCTTTCCAGAACTTGTCACAACAAAATGTGGACACACGTTTGGAAGGGAGGAGGGAGACAGAGGGAACAGAACTGAGTAAACTGACAGATTTTTTGGAAGAAGTTTGTTATTATTCTTCCCACTACCTGGACCAGAACATTAGTGCTTTCCCAACAGTAACAAATTAACTTACAAAAATGGAAGGGGAAGCTATAATGTTCACAACTAGTTACAGAGCTGAGATATTTGAAACACACACTACTGCTCTCTCTGCCTTTGCCCTCTCTTTCTAGTCCTATGCAGACAACTGTAATAAAGAACATTAGAGCTATTTCAATAGGCTTCCTGTTGCCTCAAAAAAGAACCAGCTAGGAGCAGCACACCTCCTCCCTGTAGCATATTGTTGGCAGTAAAAAGGCCCAAGTTCTCTATCAGCTTTACGATAAGAGCATCAGGTGAATAGGGATGGCAGACTCCACAGGGCACAGCAACAGTGATCAGTACACGATGAAGGATGGCCATACAGACTTTCTGAAATATATTTTTCACTGCTTACTGGAAATGTAAAATATGTATATAAACACTTTTAACAGGAAATACCTAAAATTAAATAAGACACACAGAGTACAACCACACAGTTTCATTCTTTTGATACAGCAGAACAGTCCTGCTTTGAAGCACGGGGACATTTATTCCTCTATTTTCACTAACAGAGCCGGCTATCTGATTACAAACACTTAAATGTTTTACCTGCACAGAAAACTTCCACTTTCCAAACAGCTTTACAACAGGTACTGTTGTACTGATGTTACAGTTAATCACAAGCATAAAGAATAATCTTGAATGAATGATCTTTTGAAACCCTACCAGAGTAATTACTTAAGCATGTCTACATCGAGAAGCTATTGTAAAATAAATTACAGCAAAATTTATAGCATAAGAGGTATTCTGCAACGACTCTTCGACCACACCAAGAGTATCTTGAGGTTTGATTTACTATACCTCTCTGGGGAAAAAAACTTTTTCTCCCATGTTTGCCATGTAAGTAAACTTGGAAGAGTTAAATACTTTGTTATGCTGCTGAATGAGAAAATGATAATTCACTGACTGAATACCTGCAAGTTATTCATGTGCTGGAAATTGTTCTTTTCCCCACTGTAACTCAAACCATTGCAGATTCGGTATGCAAAAACTCTGGGACTTGGTAGGATTTGTTTTAATAAAACTTTACCCTGCACAAAAAAATTAACATTGTAAATTTCAAGAAATACTTACATTCACAAGCAGCTGCTATGAGACGGCAAGCCAAATATGGAGGATCACAAGAAGGGAAGAAAGGTTGAACTATGTAGTTAGCAAAGGTGATGGCAATAATTGCCTGACTAGTTGGCTCAACAATTAGGAGTGAGGTCCACAAACGAATAAAAGCAATGAAGCTCCCAAAAGACTCCAAGATATATGCGTAGCTGGCTCCTGATTTTGTAATAGTGGTTCCAAGTTCAGCATAGCAGAGAGCTCCAAAGACTGAAAAAATCCCTCCGATTGCCCAAATTATTAGAGACAATCCATAAGATTTGCTGTAGATGAGAACTCCTTTGGGAGAGACAAAGATACCTGAACCAATCATGTTGCCTACTATAAGGCTTATCCCATTTATCAAAGATATTTCTTTCTTCAGTTGCAATGTATTTTGGTTTCCATCCTGCATTTCACAGCTGTCACTTGGATCTGTCCTGTCTGATTTATTGACGGGGCTGTATTCAGCCAGTGAGCTATGCGACTTCGTACAATCTGTCCTTTCTCCCATTGTGGAAAGACTCTGAATTCTCCACGACTCCAAATCACAATCTAAAACAAAATATAGACAGCTGAAATAATTATAATTATTTTTTTATCCCAGGAATTTCTTGCCAAATCTTCTTTCCACCTTTTTACCCTATGATTTACAAATTTAAATTGAGAAATTCCCTTTTGTCATTTCACGTTTTCTTACACGAAGGTCAATTCATGCATAATTAAAATAAACAGAAAAACCAACACACAGAGCAAGAGACAAATTCCAATATAACTTAAGCTGAGAAAGGAACTTCTACCTTTAGAAAAAAAAAACAAACCACAAACAACAAACACAAACAAAACTGTAGGAAGGACAGAATTAAGGGATTCCAATGTTGAAAAGGAAGAAAGAACAGATAGAAGCAAAGTGAGGTGATATTGAAAAGCAAGCACCATAAGACCAAGCTGGAAGTTCTGCACACGAACGTAGATTTATTGCAGAACTAAAAAAAAAATAATCAAATTCTTGTACTGACACACGTAAGTTACGAGTGATCTAGTAACAGGGTTGCACATGTTATTAATGCAGTGTGGGCTCTTGCTAAGGGCAATATGAATAGATACTTACTCCACAATCCCTGATACTACAGTTCGCTCCCTCCCACCTCCCCGAAACTGTTCCCAGTTCCCACTACCTCATTTCTTGGAGCTGTCTAAGAGCGCAGGCTATACATGAAAAAAAATCATAGTAGTTTCAATCCAAATTCCTCCATTAACAACTGTATTTAACAGTACCTAAGAACACAAAAATGAAATAAACTTTTTCCGCTGCTTCAGAATTGACCATTTGGAAGAGAGCCACCTTCTTTTCAAGTCTCCAGGAAATTCTCCCATGCCTTCCAAAAGCAAGTTACTGCTAATAACATTTATTAGCACAAGAATATACTGATGATTAGCACTAATTCTGAATAAGGCTCATTTTATAGAAGTTCAAGTAAGAAATAACCTATTCAAGGAACAGTCTTGTATGGAAAACAGCTTCAATTGCAAATGTACCTTTGATTACTAGGTTATCAGCCACATAAAGAATAGGCCCTACATAATTGACAGAATGCACTACCATTCATACGTCCTTCCCCTCATTAAATCCTCAGTATATACTTCAGCCATTTACTACAGAACAGAAAAATTTAAAAGTCTAGGTCAATTAGAATAAAGCAGCTGATCTTTATCGGGGGGGAGAGTTTCTGCACTTTTTGGGGATAACACTAATTTTACAAAAGGTTTTGTTATTCCAACAATAAACTTGTCAACTAAGACAATAAAAACCCTGACTGTGGGGATTTTGAAAGATCAGTATGCGATCACACAAACTACATATGTATCTATGCGTCTAGCAGCATAGGAACACACAAGGTTTTGCCCATGCAGTTAGAGGCACACCCTTCTGGAGGGGAAACTTAAATCATCATATTCTTCCTTTATTACAAAACCAACACCTGGATACTACAGTACAGTAAGTATGACTTGACATCCCTAAAATAGAATAGTTTTAAAGATGTGAAAATTATATTCTTTTCAATCAATAACTTCTACTGAAATAGAGTACAAATCATTTACTGAAACACATTACATCATTCATCTCCAACTCGTGAATCTTCTAGCTTTTCCCACATTAAAATAGACTGTGTTCTTTTAAGTAATGTAAAATGAGTTCCTCAATCTGTTTAGTCAGATGCTTTGTGATTTACCTTTGCCTCAATATTTCAAAGAAACACTTTAAAGAGAGTTAATTACTAAATACATATTTTATTATTTATACATGAGTCAACATCTTATCTAGCATCACACATACATCACAAGCCATCAAATTTCACATTTTTAATTAGACTAAAAATTTTCAACCTTCCAGAAACTAAACTCTGCTATTTCAGAACTTGAAAGCTTGAGTGTTATAACGAGTATGCCCAAAACTGCAAAGGAAAATGAAAGCAAATTAATCTCACCAGTTCTCCTTATTATTTACTCTTCCATCTATCTTGTGCCAAATTCATTTGCAACCGCATACTGGCTGATTTTCCGTTATTGGTGTAGTAGAGCTAAGTCTTCAAAAACACATGTGGCCTATGAACTTGCAAGATTATTTGGTTTGCTTTACAAGAGAAAGTTTAGTTATTACCGTGTAAATGAATATAAACTATTATAATAATCAATTACAAATATGATGCACTCATCAGAAAGCATAAATGTGTAAAACAGCAGGACAAATAATCAATGTGCATGACTTCATGACTAATTTCACCATAAGACGTGGATTTAAAGAACACCTGTGACCCATAAAAATAACACTCAACTCCAAATTGAGCCTTTTAATTTCTATTTTGACTTGGACAGGACAAAAGTTGCAAATATATTTCAGAAAGCAAATCAGTCTGAAGAAATGTCAGTGGAAAAAATAAGAATACTACAGCTATTATTATGACATCCATGACATCCAACTGCCAGTTTGAAAATACGCCATGTTCATTCTCAGCCCTTCCAGCTAAAGGATAAAACTGAGTAATATGTTAATAATTGACTCATGGGTGTAAAACATCATTTTGGTGATAACTACACAGCTTTATGATTTCCTACTCCACATATCCTAATCATCCTTCCCATTTCTTCCTGGAACACCTTTCAAAGTACGACTTGTTCAGAAGCATAAACTCAGGCATTTTGATTATTTGATTTGATTCAAATCAATTGAATCACTCAAATCAAATCAAATCTGATGTGTTCACACACAGGCAGTTTTGCACTAAGAGTCACCGTGATTTACCTCATGGTCTGAAGTTCAGTACATTTAATTACCTGTAACTATAGACCCTGTCACTGTTCAAACGCCTCCACCTCAATAAGCAGCACGTGACTGCAGTCCTATACAATTTTGTTACTGATGACCTTGACTGTTTTGTGCCCTACTCTACACAGGAAAGAACCACCACAATATCTTTCAACCTAGCTTGTTTAGTCCCCCAATACTCTTTCTTCCTCTCTGAGTCTGTTTTTGTTATTCCCAACTTCAGGTATCTGCTGACAACTAGGATTTGCATGAAGATGTGTGCAACAGCTCACTCAAGATTTGGCATTTCATTCTCTTCTCTACCCTTGTTTGGTTTATAGCCTTTAAGCCTTAAGGACAGGTATTGCTTATTTGCCCGAGTCTCATGTCTTATTGCAACACCTCTATGACAGGAAAAAAAAAAAAAAAAACTATTGGCAGGTTTTTTCCTACAAGCACTTCACTTAATCTTAACTGGTACTAAACTCAGCAGCTTTGACCAACTGAAAAAAAAAACAAACCTACAAAGGAAGGGGGCGAGCAGAGACTAGAGAAAACTGAAGCTATGTCAAGATTAGCAATATAAAGAAAAAAACACATATATTAAAATCCATGATTCTGTCACAAGACCATTACTCCTGTGGAAACAGAAGACAGGCTTGTAAGACAAGAACCAGAGAAGAATAGTGTATATTTTCTAACATACAGCAATCCCGTAATACTGCAGCTAAAACCACTGTTAGAATGATCTCTAATGCTGCCAAAGCCTTGCCACAGGACTGTTATGGCTAATGCAGGCTTATGCCATCACACAAGCTAACACGTGGATTTCCTCATCGCTCACCCTTGTGCAATACAAAGTCTTAAACTCTTTTTTTTGCTGATTGTTGCAGCTGCGAGGAATCTTTTTGCTGATACGCATAAGGTTTTTTTTACTGAAATGACACTGCTGTTGATACAGAAAGCTTTAATATGAAACCAGGACAGAGTGACCTGAAACTAGGATCACTTCATTGTCTCACTAAAAATATATGTTCTGATAAAGCCTATCACACTTTGGCCATGTACCAAAGAAGCTAATGAAGGTTAATGTGCAGTTAGCAGAGTACTAACACTGCATCACAG